ATAACAGAAAATACAATAAATTAAAAAAAAAGACTGAAAAAAAAATGGGATAAACAAGATCATTTGATCCCAGACACGGCGAAGAGTGGATGAGAGTGAGGAAGCGAATCCAGCCGTACACTTCGAGGATGAAGAATGTTTCCTCTTACATCCACCAGATGGACTCAGTGACGCAGGATTTCATCGCAAGGCAAGATGGCGTTTTTTCTTGTGCTTTCTCTTCTTGTTTTTTTTTTTTTTTTTTTTTTTTTTTTTTTTTTTGGCTTGCTTTGATCTTTGGTTATTGTTTTTTTTTTTGTTTTCCGATTTTCGTTTTGTATTGATGATTTATTTTGTTATTTTGTTTTATTTTTCCTTTTGGTGTATTTTTCTATCTAATTTTTTGTTCGTTGTCGCGTTTCTTTCTATTGTAAATTGGCATTGTTTTCTCATCCATTTTATTCTCTTTCACTCTTTTCTTCTTTTCCTTCGTCTTTCAAAAAAAAGAGGAAGATGAATACGTAAAGAGTGGGAGAGATGAAATAGAGAGAAAGGTAGATATGACACAGATATATATATATATATATATATATATATATATATATATATATATACGTATCTATATCTATATCTATCGATATATGTGTATAATAATGAGAGAGAGAGAGAGTAAAGAGAAAGAGACAGAGAAAGAGAAAGAGAGACAGAGAAAGAGAAAGAGACAAAGAAAGAGAAAAGAGAAAGAGAAGAGAGAGTGTTGAGATAAGAGAGAGAGAAGAGAGAGAGAGAGAGAGAGAGAGAGAAGAGAGAGAGAGGAGAGAGAGAGAGAGAGAGAGAGAGAGAGAGTGAGAATAAGAGAGAGAAGACTAGAGAGAGAGTGAAAATAAGAAGAAGAGAGTGAGAATATGAGAGAGAGTGAGAATATGAGAGAGAGTGAGAATATGAGAGAGAAGTGAGAATAATGAGAGAGAGTGAGAGAGAGAGAGTGAGAAATATGAAGAGAGAGTGAGAATATGAGAGAAGAGTGAGAATATGAGAGAGAGGTGAGAAATTGAGAGAGAGTGAGAGAAGAGAGAGTGAGATATGAGAGAAAGTGAGAATATGAGAGAAAGTGAGAATATGAGAGAGAGTGGAGAATATGAGAGAGAGTGAAGAATATGAGAGAGAGTGAGAAAATATGAAAGAGAGAGTGAGAATATGAGAGAGAGTGAGAATATGAGAGAAAGTGAGAAATCATGGGAAAGAAGAGTGAGAAATATGAGAGAGAGTGAGAATATGATGAGAGAGAGTGGAAAATGGAAGAGAGTGGAATATGAAGAGAGATGTGGAGAAATATGAGAGAGAGTGACGAATAATGAGAGAGAGGTGAGATATATGAGAGAGAAGTGGAGAATATTGAGAGAGAGTGAAGAATGAGAATATGAGAGAGAGTGAGAGAATATGAGAGAAGAATAGAGAGAGAGAGGAAAGAGAGGAAGAGAGAGAGGAGAGAGAGAAGAGAGAGAGAGAGAGAGAGAGAGAGCGAGAGCGAGAGCAAGAGCGAGAGAGAGAAAGAGAGAAGAAAAAAGAGAAAATAGAAACCAAAAAAAAATAGAAACGAACACCAAAAAAACTTGTACAAACCAACCACCTGTCTCCTGAAGGTGGGCGACCCTGAGAGGACATAAGACGAGCTTCCCGAGGACTTTCCTCCACCAGCTGTTCCAGTGGGCGTTGGAGTGTGAGTGTCTACAACATTTTCTTTCTTTGTTTATCAATTATCATTTGTTTCCTGGTTCTCTTTGGTTTGGTATTAGTTTGTTTGTTTAATTTTTTGGTTCGTATTAGTTTTTTTTTAGAAATGTTGTGATGACTGAGATAGATAGATAGGAAGATGAGTGAAGTAAAAATTATGAGAAAAGGACAAGGATGGAAAATAAAGATACTCATGAAATAATATTAAATAACAAATTAGGAAAACAGAGAAGAGAAAAAAGTATCAAAATTTTCACCATCGAAAAAAAACTTATGCTTATCTTTTTTCCTTCCTCGCTTCCTCCGTCCCCCTTACCCCCCGCTGCTTCACCCCTCCTCCCCCATCACCCCTCCCTGTCCTCCTTCACCCTCATTTCCACCCTTTTTTCTCACCTTTCCTCCTCCTTCCCTCCCCATCACGCATTTCCTTTCATCTCTTCTCCTTTCCCATCTCCCCTCATCTTTCCCTCCCTCATCACCCAAACTCCCCTCCCCGTCCTCCGCTTCTCCCATCCCACCTCCCCCCCCATCACCTTCTCACTTTTCCCTCTCCTTTCTCTCACCTCCCCTTCATCCTTTCCTCTCTTTTTTTCCCCCTTTCTTCCACCGCTGCTCCCTCTCCTCTCTTTTCCTCCCCTCGCTTCCTCCTCCCCCTCCCCTTCCCTCTGTTTCTTCCCCTTTTTCCTTTCCCCCTCTCCCTATCACACCGGGTCCCTTTCCTCTCTTTTTTTCCCGCCTCCTCCTCCTCTCTATGCTGTTTCCCTCTTCTTCACTTCGTCCCCTCCACATGCCTTGGCCTAGTGACATCTTATTAACAGACGTCTCGGCTGCCTGTGAGAACACGCCGGAAGCCCTTCGGATGATAGAGATCGCGGATGACCTCGTCCGCAGCATCCATGGCCTGGAGATGGGGGTCACTCGTCCGCTGGTGGAGTGGGTCGACACACCGGCGCTCAGAAGGTCAGGAAAGCACATGATGAGATGCCTGAGGTGAGTGGTCGGGCTGGTTGGGGAGGGGTGGGGGGCGGGGTGGAGGTGGGGGGGGAGTTAGGTGTCATGCAGGTGTGTCATGGAGGTGTTGTCGACAGGTAGGTGTCATGCAGGTGTGTCAATATAAGTGTGTCAGGTGTCAGTAGGAGAGGCATTAGTTAGGATGTGTCAGGTGGATACCTGACAGGCTGTCGATAATGATAGGCAGACACATTAAAGATTATACAGAGAACCAATAATAATAAATAACAGCTAATCAGACGATACATATGACAGATAGACAGATAAACCAGATACAGATACTAAATATGGGTTTGATAGATAAACCAGACAGATAGACATAGATAAACAGATACCGACAGACAGATAGATGAACAAACATCATTGGACTGATAGATAAAGAAACACAAATAGAAATTGGTCACATAGGGACATATAGACAAACAAAAACAGACTGACAAACAAAAACAGACAAACAAAAACAAAAACAGACAGACAAACAAAACAAGACAGACAAACGCAAACAAAAACAGACAGACAAACAAAAACAAAAACAGACAGACCAAAACAAAAACAGACAGAACAACAAAACCCCACAAGAAACCTGAGAGCAATTAACCGCCACGTTCCCACAGCTTGTCCACGCGGCCGTTCAAAGAATCCCAACAGTCGCTCCAGTCCCGACGTCCGGACTCCGAGGAGGACTTGAACATCGTCGAGAACCTCCTCCTCGACCCTGTCTTGACTTACGAGGACGTCCATGCCTTCCTCATCGACGTTTTCTTCGCCGGGATTGACACGGTGCGTCGGACGGATCCTGTTACGGACGAGGGATGGCGTTTGTTTTTTGACGTGCGTTGGGTTTTGTTTACTTGCGTTCGTGTTTTTTGTGCGTTGCGTGCGTTGGGTTTGAGGTTACGGTGTGATCGTGTGTTTTGCGTTTGTTTGCCGTGCGTTCGTGTTTTTGACGTCGTTTTTGTTTTTTGGCGATCGTGTTTGTTTTGCGTTGTGTTTTGTTTACTTGTGTTCGTGCGTTTTTGTTTAGGTTTGCGTCCGTGTTTGTTTACATCGTCTTTTGTTTACTTGTGTTTGTGTTTTGTTTACGGGCGAGCTTTTAATTACGTGCCAATCTTTTTTCTGTTGACAATTGTTGACGGTTATGGATTTTTTGTTCTTGTAAGGGTGCCTGAAAACTACTCGTTAACTTTTTTTTTGTGATACTAAATGTTTTTTTGACTATTTTTCTGAATATACATTATATTAAAATGTAGTAAACCAGAAATGATTATGACTAAAACATATGAACAAACTTAAAGAGAAACATCGACATAACACAAAACTAAAAAAGAAGAAAAAAACAGGCAAAAACATCAACTTAACCAACAAAACAACAAAAAAACTAATCAAAATCTATAAAAAACAAAAGAAAACCTAAAAACCTCAAAACAACTAAATTCTTCTCCATGTGTCCCAGACCTCCCTCTCCTCCACCTACACCATAATGAGACTGGCGCAGAACCCAGACAAGCAAGAAAAATTACAGGAAGAGCTAGACCGTGTTCTGGGAAACGGCGAGCAAGTCATCAGTCCTGACCATATAAAGGAACTCCGGTATCTGAAGGCCTTGTGTAAGGAGGCTCTAAGGTGAGAGGAATTAATTTGGCATTTGGAAAAATAATGTCAGGGTTTAAATCTTAATCATGAAGGGTATTATTTGGTTTCATCCCTGGTATATGATGGGCATTCATTTTTACCCTTCGAAACGGATGACGTGACCATCATCACGTCAAGAAAAAAATCGGCTTGAGGGGCGGGTGACGTGAATGCCGTCATGGGTAAAAAAAAAAAAGCTGCGTTGTATTAAAAAATGAATATTTCGAAAAAGTAAAAAAAAAAAATGACCAAATTTGCCCTTTTTCTCTGGCATAGTTATAGAAAGATGGCATGGAGTATATGCAAGGAAAACGGCCTAACACCATCTGGATAAAAGCAAATCAAATTACTAATATGGACATTCGAAAATGGCATAAAAAGACTAAAAATGTTTATGCAAAATAACATTGCAAGAGGGAGGCATAATGTCTTGTCACCGCACAGGAGTTTCAGAACGTATCACATGACACTAACGATATGTATTTGTTATGTGCTTTCTAAAAGGATGATTTCTTCGTTATCTTTTTATGTTATAATTCAATTATTTATTTTTCTTTTTATTTATTTATTCATCTTTTTTTGTTATAGGTTGGACCCGCCAATCATCTGTGTCGTGAGAAAAACCACGAGAGATATGGTACTTCGCGCTTCTTGGTGCCAAAAAGGGGTGAGTGGTTTAGAGCAGTGTTGTCCAAACATTTTTCGCCTATTGTACCCTTTATTACCATCCTTGTACTGTGACGTACCCCACCTCCACCGTGGATAACAGTTTTAATTAGGATAGTGTAAATGATATTCTATTATGAAGAGACTGCATTGCAGGAGTGTTGGCCAAGTAAATTCGAATTTTAAATAAAAAATATGAACAAAATCTGAAAAATTTTCCACAACTAAATGAGAATGTGAGGTGTGTGTGGTGTTTCTTGTTTGTTCACGTACCCTATGATGTTGCGGACTCCCAGTTTGGACAACACTGATGAAGGAAAAGAAAGAAGGAGGAGGAGAGAGAGAGAGAGAGAGTGAGGAGGGATGGAGGGAGAGAAGGAATCTCCCAGATTCCCTTTATCTCCCCCTCCCATCCACCACCTCCCTTCCACCCTCCACTCTCTCCTTACTATATAAACACATCATCGCTATACTATCATCTCATCACACCTTCCCCCTCCCATGCAGCTCTACCCGAGCGTCGAGTAGGAGCGAGGAGTTCTTTCCCGAGGGCGACCGAGTTCCTCCCCGAGCGGTGGCTGAGGGAGACGTCGGCCTCGAACTCCGTCCATCCTTGCCTCCTGCCCTTCGGCGCCGGGGTCAGGAACTGCGCCGGGAGGAGGTTCGCCGAGCAGGAGATTCATATACTGTTGGCTCGGGTGAGTTTTGTGTGGTGTTGATTTTTATTATTTTTTTTTTGATTTTTATTTATTTGTTTATTTATTTATTATTATTATTTATTTTATTTTTATTTTTTGTTGGTGCGGTGGTTTGGTTTGGTTAGTTGTCTTTTTTTTATTTCTCTGTCTTTTTTTTTTCTTTCGGTTTAAGTAATCTTTCCGATCTATTTTATTTATTCGGTTCTTTTTTTTTTTTTTTTTTGGCTTATCTTCGCAATCCTATAATTAGAGGCTATTGCGCTTTTCATTACTGTATTTTCCACTATTCTCACCTTCTTTCCTCTTTCCGGTAATTTCCTAAGGCGCATTTTTGAGACGTCTAGCCGAAATCGTGAAAGCAGTCCCCACATACAGCTTGCTATAAGTAAATTAAGTAAATAAACAATTGCAATATGTAGAGACTTATTCCCCTCGTATTGGGTGACAGGAGTAAATGATAAAGGAAACGGACTGGGTGCTATTAGTAATTATAGTGAACTTAACGATGAGGTTTAACATTTAATGAAGATGAAGGAAATGATTTGAAAAAATATTTTACATATATAGCACTAAAAATTATGAAAAAAACAGAAAAAATCGTTAACAACAGTTTAAATCTGCTATTAGATAGCTCTTCCTAACTGAGAGTTTAGAATAAAAATTACAAGGGTAAATAAAAATGCTCTTCTAACATCCCCGGGAAGGCTGTAATACAATAATAAGTTGCTAGAATTTACCTTTTAGAGAATATCATAACTATTAATAAAACTCAGTTGATGCTTCTGGTTGGCACAGATATGTCCACAGCTTGGAAGTTTACATCATTTATTAACGACAAAATCAGTAATTGAACAAAAGAATTACATCGAAATCACTCGTTTCTGTCAGCCATATTGGCGGTTTGTTTACAATCGTGACGTCATAAAACTGCAGCAAGCTTCCTCTGAAGATGGTTTGAAATGCTAGGTTTGGGTGCTAAACCAGACCAAAATATCTGATCAAGAAGTCCCTTCAAAAACAGGAATGAATAGAAAATTTTCAAGTTTAATTTTCAAAATCAGGAAATCATGAATGATCATTGCAAACCGTCGAAAGAATGCAGGAATTGCGTGCGTTGTGTAAAGCGTGGGTAACTTAACCTCACTCTCCTTCCATACATATTCCCGTTTTTCACCAGAAATAAACCATACAAAAACACACACAAACTAAAAATGGAATATACCGCCAAAAGGACATGCATCAGCTTCCCATTATTCAGAACCGACCATTTTTTCCCTCCAGATGTTCCACAAGTACCGACTGGAGTGGCGATACGATCCCTTGGCGCGACCTTCAGCATGCTCATGATGCCAGATAAGCCCTGAGGTTCACCATGAGGGAGAGGCGATGAAGGAACCAGCCCAGGACTGCTTTTGTTTTCTCTTGTTTTCTCTTTTTCTTTTCTTTTCTTAGTTTTTCGGTGCCAAAGTTAGATCTTATTGTTATGTAAAGAGTTTTATTGGCATTTTTTTTTTCTTAGCTTTCTGTGCCAAAGTTAGATCTTATTGTTTTATTTAAAGGGTCTTATTGCAATTTTTTTCTTTGAATTTTGGTGTGCGGTATTTGTATTGCATGGTGTAAGAGACATGCATATGCTACGCACACCATGCGCGCGCGCGCGCACACACACACAACACACACACACACACACACACACACACCACACACACACACACACACAACACACACACACACACCACACACCACACACTGAGACGCTACGCGTATAGTTTCTAGTCTG